AAAAATTACATATCTCAAGTCCTGAGTTTGCATTAAATACCAGTTTTTCAGTGCATTTCATCAACAACAACAAAATTTAGTTGATTTATTAAAACATGCACACTGCAGATATGAAAACAGAGTGTGTCCTGGAGAAGTACCATTCTGCTGGAATATCAGATTCATAAACATTATCTTAGGAATTTTTTCTTGCATTTCTAATTTATGGCATTGCTTAAGAACTACCAAGACTAGTGGTTGTCAGGAGAGCTGGGGAAGGCAGACAAATACATTTCAGTCTGAAAATACTAGGTGCTAGTACCAGGAATAATGGAACTAAATGTAAGGAGAAACAGGTAAGCCTTGTTTCCTTGTGCAGCCTACTATGAATAAATGAAATGCCTAGCAGAAGATTTGAAAACGAATTTGAATATTCATTTTCAGCTTTAATCATTAAATACATTTCAGTAAGGTAGGTAAGAATGTATGATGATATTTTTTTTTAAGCTTTCTGTTAAGTAAGGAAAGATATTAGCTTTCTAAACTATATGTATGGCCTCTTCCTAACTCCTTCTAATTGATGCAGATGTCTTTGGAACTGATAGCCTGATTTATAACTAGTCAAGATCTCCTTGGAGTTTTAGTGGAAAAGACAGTCAGTAGTATGCAGTTAGAAGGCAACATGCCGTAGTCAGAAACTTGAGTATAGATTGTGATGAGTGCAGTATAATGATATAATAGCAATGTAATTATTTCAGTTGGGAGTTTGTATACCCAGTCCTGACAAACAGTCCTGCTTGCCTTTTTATTTCCTTGTTGTATATACAGTAATAAGTTGTATTTCCTCTTGTGTGCAGTTACCAGTTGAATTTCTGTCTGTGGTCTTCTGCATGGAATCCTCTCGTAATCTCTGTAATCTGCAAACTAAATTGATGTTATCACACATTTTACATATGGGAAAACAAGAGCAGAAAGGTGAAAATACTTGCCTGAGGCCACAAAATGATTCATTTACACATCTGAAGTTTCCAGCTCACTACTGGCGTTAAGAAACTTTTGTATTACATCTCTATATGCCGTGTTCTTTCTTTCCTCAACTGAGAAAACGCCGTGTGCTTTTGCAGAGGAGGCCTGCTGGAGAAGAACAAGGAGCAATCCCTTCGCGTGTCTAGTGCCAGGAAGGGTTTTCCATAGCAACAGGGTGACAACAAATACACAAAAATCTTAAATTGTATAAAACAGAAATTACCAGTGCATTTGTGTAAGTTAATTTATCTTCTGTCTTTGACCTTCAGGCAAAAGTAGACAATGAAATCCTTGATTACAAGGATTTAGCAGCCATTCCCAAAGTCAAGGCCATTTATGACATTGAACGTCCAGACCTAATTACTTATGAGCCATTCTACACCTCCGCCTACGAGGACAGACAGGAGAGACAGAGTCTTGGAGAGGTAATGAACCAACAAGGAGCTCGTTCTGCTTTGTTCAAAGCCTGCTTCGCTTTGGTCTGCTTCCCAAACAGTTTCTAACCAACACTCCTAGATATTGCTGCTGCTGCTGCTGCTGCTGCTCACAGTGCTTGTTGTCTGTTTGATCTGGGTTGAATGGGAACAATCGTGATGGTGCCTCATGTGCAAAACTGCACAATTAAACATACAATTAAACACTGACATTAACAGCAGCCACTGGCAGGGATGGCAGGGGGGAGGCTTGCAGCCTGTCTGTGTGTGCATTCTGGTAACTCCCACGGACATCCCAGTCTTTGGGTACAGCAAAATCCAGAACAAGAAGCAAAAGCCAACCTGGGGTTGTGCTGTGGAGCACCGATATTCACAACAGAATATGAGGAACACCATGCTGGTATGATTCTATGGAAGTAAAAGATTGAGAGCAGCAGAATGTTTTCTTTCACATATGTTGAAGGGAAGTGCAGTTGACATGGTTGGGTGGTGCAGTTGACATGCCAGAGGGACAGGAGGCCATCCAGAGGGACTTGGACAGGCTGGAGAGGTGAACCTCATGACATTCAACAACACCAAGTGCAGGGTCCTGCACCTGGGGAGAGGCAACCAACATTACCAATACAGGCTGGGAGAGGACATGTTAGAAAGCAGTCCAGTGGAGAAAGACTTGGGGGTACTAGTAAATGAGAAGCTGGACATGAGCCACCAATGTGCAGCGACAGCCCAGAAGGCAAATCAAATCCTGGGCTGCATCAAAAGAAGCCTGGCCAGCAGATGGAGAGTGGTGACCCTTCTCCACTACTCTCACCAGTGTTCTGAAGATGCCCAGATCATTGACTCATAATCTGATTTCTTAGCAAAGTGTTCTGCCCACCAACACATCAGAGGTGCCTCAGTTTTTCTCCTTTCTTCTTCAATGTTTTATAGAGTTAGTCTTTTAAATTATAACATGAGTTGGAAATTCAAGAGACTGTCCAGATCAGGAATAAGATAAGAGATTAACAGGTCAGAATATTACAGAATTTTCCCCCTCAAATTTATATTGGTAGTGAATCCAACTGACATCTGGTTCAAAACCACTGTGAGATGTATTGATGAGCTCTGACCAGTTCCAACAGGCCTGACCCATTCCACAAAAACCTCTACACATACAAGTCTCCTCCTAGCCACAGAGGAGGAACTAATCTCACCCAGAGAAAGTGAACTATTTGTTAAACCTTAAGGGGAAGTTTCTCACTGACAAAGCAGTGTGATGGAAGCTGTTACACTTCTTCTGGGCATAAGCAAAAGCCTTTGGGGTTTTCTTACCCCATACTTTCAACAGCAGCAAATCCAATTAATTTCTGGTGACTACAGAAATTTGTTCTGGAGACATAAGGGCGCTCACCTTCTTTTCAGAAGATCTGGATTTTCCACCCAATGCTACTGCTGACTTCTATCACCTTGGGCAAGTTACATCACCTCTTTGTATCTGTTTCTCCTCCCTTCCCTTGCCCTAATGAGAACACAAGCCCATCAGGGTGGAGTGATCTCTTACTTTGTGTATGTGTTGTGGTAATTAAATGACAACAATCCTAGTACATCATACATCAGTCACCATCATCTTTAAAAAGCAAAGGAGGTGACATGTTTAGCCATGGCAGAGATTTGCAGACTTTGAGTGATTTAACCTGCATTCTCTTTCCCAAATATGTGTATGTGGTGGTGTTAAATAAATGGGGACCCTGAGTACAAGTTGTAAATTTCATTGTGATTTAAAAAGGAAAGAAAAATTGCCAAACTCAGCTCAGAAAGATTTGTGTACAAGGGAGATGTGCAAGAGCCACCAAATTTAATCCACTGGTGGACCACCCTTAATTGCAGGGAACGGGCTACAAGAAAATTATATACTTTAGCCACAGAAAGTGGGAAAAACACAGCATGAGACTTTCTTCTTTATTGCAATGGAATTGAATGGAAAGTGTCTCACTCATAATCCCCCTCTTGTTCAGTTAAATCCCAACCTTGTTTCTCTGAAGTCAGTGCTGGGCAATGTTTTCAGGCAGCACCATCTAGTGGGACCAGGCGTTGTGGTCACAGACCTGCCAGCAGTGAGCTGGGGAAGAGAAAGGGAGCTCATGAAGAGACGCTTTAGCTTCTAAAATAAAAGGGATTAAGAGATACGAAATGAGATCTGTAAATAAATTTTTCTGCTATCGAGGCTGACCCTTAATGTAGTGATAACATTTCCAGAAGCTGTCAGTTACTGAGGCTCTTCATCTCCTAAAACTTCTGCCGTGCTAGCAGCAACCTGACTATCACAGAAATCTTATTTCCTCAGCTCAGGCATTTGTTGCATAAATATTGAGAGAAGCAGCATTTTACCTGCATGTCTGTTGTTTCTTGTATTCTGTCTGTTGAAAGCACTGAATGTCTTACCAGCTTTCAGTAAACAAGCTGTCATAAAATGAGAAAAGGATTTTTTCTGATGTGAAAGAAAAGCTGAGCAGGCATCCTACTTTGTAATTCAATAACAAGCCAGTTGAAATGAATTCGGTGCAAAATACTGGAACTTGTGTGATAAAATGACACCTGTAAAAGTTTGCAGAAATTTCCCAGAGTGTGAAATGACCTGTATGACTTCAGGTAATAGAGTAGCCCCTTGGATCTCAAAGTGACAGAGCATTGAGTCTGTTGTGGTGAGGAGAAGTTTTACAGTAAATCTGGTCACAACAGGCTTTCTACCCAGATGTTTTTTCAGTCTGGAGTCACCACTTCTATTTCCACTGGCTTACTATTCTGGACATGAGCTGTCTCGTCTCAGTCAACTGCACAGTGTATTTTGAACTGAGTAGTGTAGGCATCTGCGATAGACAGGCTTTTAAAAGGCCTCATAAACCCTGAAGAACCAAGCATTCCTTGACAGATTTTGAGATGTAGCAGTTACCTGTGCATGAGGAAGCAGTAAGGTGGCTGCAGAGTGCGGTTCCATTTCCCCAAGAGCAACAAGTCGATGTCAGATAGTGATGGAGTGAGAACACGTGAGGTTGGTCATGGATTTAGCATGTTACTTTCTGGGATGCCTTAGTCCGAGATTCCTGTGACTACCTTTTGCAGTAATCATTACCTTAGCACCTAGGCAACCACAGCAGATTATGGAAATTTGTTTATTTACAGTAACACAGAAATTACTAGTAGAAGATTGTGGAAATGCACATCACAATATGTGCTTTGTTTTCCATTTATTTTGAAAGATTTAGATTAGGTCTCAATTTTGTGGAGAATAATGCTACAAAGCACTGTGTGCTCTACAAAGTTTTTATGGCAGGTGCTGTTAGATCTATAATGAAATGGTGGTTTGCTGTTTAGAACTTCTGCAGTTGTAAGGATTAGGCAAATGTAACAAAAGCAGTCTTTAAGAAAATCTTTATGGAAGCTTGCTGAAAAGGAGATGTTCTGTACCCAAAAAAAAATGTCACTCCTTTTTTTGGATACTCTACATTCAGTTTCACCAGCTCCATGAGAGTTAATAGTCTCTCAATGCAAAATGTATAGTGTGATATTTATTACCAGAAATTCTGCGTATGTTTTAAACTACTGCTGTGGTACGTTATTGTAATAGACCAGAATCAGCAGTTTTGCTTCTGAGACATTATCTTAATAGCTCTAGCTTTCTATAATAATTGTGGTCTTATTTAAAAGCATAATCTCTTGCCTACTTTATTATGGCAGTTAAATAATATTGATGTTTAGTCCATAAAGAAAGTAATTAAATCCTGATCTTCCAGCTTCAAATTGCCTTGTGATTAAAAGGCACGTAACTGGTAATTATACTGAGCCTTTATTCTTGTTCCTACTGTCAACAAGTGCATGATGCTGTGTTTCATTTCTAAAGGTATTTCTTGCCTCAGTTTCCCCATCCCTGTAATAGAAACTTTTCTTAATATTGTGCATATTTCTGCCCACTGGCCTTTGTGCATTTCTTTCAATACGTCTGTTTTTAATTCCTGTCTGTTCTTCTTACATAACCATGGAAGAACACAGAAATTCAAAGGAGATTGTATCAAAGAATTGTGGTGACTACTCTGTACTCCTTTGCATGGGTATGAAATGTAAGGCCTTGGGGTGAAGCACAGTTTTGCCAGAGTATGTGCGCTGGAGGAAAAACTTGCTTCATCCTGGAAGTTATTCTGATTTTCCATGCAAAGCTCTGAGTTAAGATTATTTACTTTTGATTTCCACTTTAAAGATTTTTTCATAACAGGCATGGTTATTAAATTAATAACGCTCTCTGATTTTGATCTTTACAGCTATGTTTTAATTGCCACAGTGATTAGATGGCTGAGAGATGCTGTTGCATGATATTTAACTGAATTAATCACGCTTATAAAGATTCTCCTAGAAGTTTTAATTGCTGTGATGATTTATGGACCAGTTCCTCGGCAATGTGGAAGAAGCAAGTTCCAGGCCTCAGTAATTTCTACATTGTCATTTTAAATTGCTGTGTATCAGCATATCTGCAGAAATGTTTAGATTGCCATTTTCAGGCCCAGCACATGGAGTGATGTTTCGATAACCTTATTTTTATGTCTTTGCAGTCTCCAAGGACTTTATCTCCTACCCCTTCTGCAGAAGTAAGTTTGGTAAAACCTTTGGGGGCGATACCGTACTGTGACTAGAATTATTTCAGCAAATGCAGGGCTTGTTTTTGTTGTCAGTGTTATCCATCTCTTTTTGCCACGTTGACATGTTTTCTGAATATTGAAGCTTCACAAAAACTAACTCTATAAAGAAAAAATTTAAGTTCTTATTGACAGACTGTACAAAAAAAAAAATGAAGCTACCACTCCTACCCATTTGTTGTGTGTAAACCAGAGTCATTTGCCCAGCAGAGGTCACTTCTTGTACGTTCATCCTTCTGGCACAGGGGGACGCAGATCTCAGGACCTGGATGATTTACCTGAGCTAAAATGTTGCTCTAAGCATCTACATAAATTGCTACTGAAACATTTGCAGTTTCGTCTTCAAGAAAGCATAAATATGGTTTGGTTTGGTTTTACTCTTCCTTAGGAGTTAATTTGAACATCACAATAACGTGTAAGAAATCATTTGTCAGGATACAATAGATGCCACTGCAGAATCATTATCATTTTGGGGGTGGGGAGTATTGCTTATTCGCAGTGTAAAAGTTTTAGTGATGGCTACATGTTAAAAAAATGACTATAAAATTTCTTAGCATCAGTCCTGTCCCTTTTGTCCTGGTTTGGTGTGCTTCATGGGGTTCTGGGGAGCTGGGTTGGTTTCTTCGGGGGAGTCTTCTTTGCTTTCTTGTTGGCTTTTTATTTATTGCCAGGAAACGAAATAAACTGAGTTTTGCTACACAAGAATTTGTTGTATTTTCAGATACAAGGGGAATCTAATTTGGATGCTAAGTACCTTTTTATGTAGGTAGTCGAGACACATGGTAATGAGAGATCACAGAGGTCTGTGTGCTGCAGCTATTGGATTCTTGCTGATCTCCAACTTGGCTAGTTGGAGGCTAGCTCATGTATCTTGTGTAGTATGCTGCAGGGCAGACATACTCTGAGCACAGCTTCCCTTATAGAATCACAGGAATCTGGGTAAAGCTAGGATTGTAGGGAATGTAATAGAAATTACAGGTGGAGTTGGAATGTTCCAAGACTGACCTCTGACCCAGACTATAAAAATGAATTGGAGTGTTTGGAAGAGGTCATTAGACAACAGTAATAAGGAAGTAGATTGAAAGCTTATGGGATTTTGTTATTTCACTAGCTTCTGCTGATGTCCTCTGATCCGTGAAAGTTAAGTGCTGCTAAAAATGTGTAATGTGCATTTCCATTTATCAGTGAATGCTTCTGTTCTGCAGGGTTATCCAGATGTTCGGGATCGCATGATTCACAGGTCTACTAGTCAGGGCTCCATTAATTCTCCCGTGTACAGTCGTCACAGCTACACACCCACCATGTCACGTTCCCCTCAGCATTTCCACAGACCTGGTAAGGGCAGCTGCATTAGAAGTCTATGTCAAACTATTGTTTCTTTATTGTGCCACTTAGTGATGCAGCAGAGCACTTGTTTCTCTTAGCAGTGAAAATGGTTGCATATTTTAATCTCTCCTTTTCTACCTGTTTTTATTGTTCTTGATTGATGCAGTCTTTTGCACTAGGCTGATGAGTGTTTCTTATGTCATAAATATGGATCTGCTGGGTTTGTTTCTAATTAATTATTTTAAAGATCTTTGTTTCTGAAAGCGAGCAAAAATTTGCAGCAGTGAATCACAAACTTCATTCTGGAATTTGAGAAAAGTATTACATATTGGAAACAAAAGTTACAGCTTGACTATGTGAAAAGTCAGTAATGTAGGATTCCTCCCTGCAAAAAAAAAAAAAAAAACAAACAATTCAAAGCTTAAAGCTGTGGTGCAGCTATGCATATTCAGCAGCAAAACCCCAACATACTCCAAACTGCAGCTCATCTTTTAAAATATCAACTCATGGTTCATAAGGTAGATTTCTTAAATAAAGTCGTAGGCAATTGCCCGGGAACATGTTAAAAACACAAACTTCATTTACTGGTTTAGCAGTGACGTACAAGTGCCATGTGCAATGTAGAAAACGTACACATCATTCAGGCTCCCAACACATTCAGAGTTACTGGCTGTGTATATAAAAGCAAGATAGGAAAAAGAACTCTTCATCCACACCCAAACTGCATAAAAATGTATCTCTAAATGCTATTCACTGAAGACTTCTCAAGACTGATTTTATTGTTTATGGTGATGAATTAAACCTTTGTGATCTGTTTTTAAATTAAGTGATAGAGTCATGCAGTTTCATCTTCCTTGGTGCTTACATCTGAACAGTTGGCACGCCAAAAGCCCAAATACAATGAGAGCTGCATTTTTAAAATTAAAGATTTGTAATAGAGCCACTACTGTGGAACTTGAATGCTGTAGCCGTTTCCTAGTGGGGTGGGCTGAAAGCAGCTAATTGTGTCTGTCAGTGAATGCCTTATTTAAAGGACCCAAAGGAGGTGGGACAGAAGCAACTTGTGTCTGATACTTAGCGCTGACAGCATGACCGTTTTAAGATGACGTTACAGCTGAAACCAAAAGAGACTTAAAAGCATGAAAAAGCTGCAAACTTAATTTATCTCTTGATTCTGGCAATTCTGAGGGGATATTTCCATTTGTATCAGTTGTAGCAGGCAGAACAAATCCAGATCCTATTCCAGGCTTTACTGGGATATGTGTTTTACTGTCCGTGTTTGGTCAAGGACCTTCCTCAGAAGCAGGCTCTCTTTATGTAACTCTTGTGATGGGCAGATGGGCTCAGGCCAGAGTAGGATCCAAATGTAGAATCTTCAAAAGTTTGCAGCCTGGGGGATTTTCTGAGAAGATATTTGTTCAAACTTATCTCTGTTCAGATGATCTCATCTTTGGCTCACCTGTTTCTGTTTCTCATATGACACAGAAGTAATTCTGTAGAATTCATCATTTTGATCTCTGCTACCCTGCTTTGGGGTAATTGTTAATGCTACTTTATAATTTTCCTACAGTAATTATTCACATTGAATAATAGCACATGTATATTTACCATTTTTCTCCTAACGGCACTTCTTATCATCATGTTATTTGGAAGAACGATTTCTCTTTGAATAAATCCAGTGGCCCCAGATAACTTCTCTTTGGTTCCCAGGTAGCCCTTGAGAGAGAAGTGAACCCCAGTGTGTTGACATTGACAGCATAAGATCCTTCAAAAATTTGAGTGCTACAAGTTTTGAAAAAGTTTGCAGCCTTTTCCTCCCGCAGTGCCCTAGCTGATGTTGGCAGCATTTTTGGAATGTCTTAAAACAATAGAAAACAGCTTGCGTGCCTCTTGCCTGACGTTTTATGGTCAGGCACTTTTCAAAACAGCTGCTTTCTTAACTAATTGAGCGTCAGTGTTTCTGATGATTGCATGCTGGTAGCAGGCTACTTTTTGGTAACAAGGCATAGGTCGGGAGCTCATTAAGCCAATAAATGTTATGCTAAATTAGTGGTGCAGTTCAACTCTGAGCCTCTTTTCTAATATTTCCTGTAATTTTGTCTAACATTTATGAACCCTTCGGTCCGTTTTTAACCTTTTTTTTTCTCCTTCCTTCTTTTCAGAATCCTAATTGTTCAATGCCTTTTTTCCCCCCCTTCCTTTCAAGCCTCCTTCCCTGCCTTTCTCTTATTGTTTTTCTTTGTTTTCATTTTGTTCTGCCCCCCGCTTCCCTGCTGCCGCAGAGCTGCTCGCTACTGGTGTGCAGCGCTTGTCATACCTGCGCACGAGCAGTCTCAGCTCCTCTCACCATGACTCCCGCCCCAACTCCCCCTTCCGACACCACTTCATCCCCCATGTCAAAGGTAAGGAGCCAGGCCTCCCCAGGGACTGCCCTCCAGGCTGGAGATTTATTAGCATTCTGCCTAAGCTAATAAGGGGTATCTCCATAAGGTTGTCACTGGCTGTGTAGCTGAGCATGCCTCGAAACGCGCCGTTACACTTAAAACTACGTTAGAATAGACATAATCTCCTTTTCCTGGAGGAAATATGTCATTTCTAAGGGCCCTAGCTGAAGAGTCATCAAGCAATTACCTATTAGAAATATACAGGAAAGCACCATCATTCACTGTTTAAAACCTGTATGTGCCTAATTTAGCTTCTTTCTAAAGCAGCGCACGTCAATCACTGTAGCAATCTGTGTATCAAATTAAATTATTATTTCCACATTCTTAAAACATGCATTTAAAAACTGCCTACAAATATTGCCTGGATGAAACCAAAGTGATCAAAAATAATCGAGAAGAAGAAAAAAATTCTATAAAGGTCAATGGCAACACAGAAGTTAATCATTGTTGAAGATATTGGCAGTAATTAGTGCCCAACAAAGCAAAATTAAAATCTCTGGGCCTCTCCTCAACTAGTGAGAATCGGAAAACTCTGCTGAAGGCAGTAGAGTTGCAGGGATTTACACTACCTGAGGATCTGGTCATTCACCTTTTTTTCAATCTGTTACTTTCTGTGCTTTATTTTGAGGGAAGGTTGTTCTTTCATTGCGTCACTTCAAGGAGCTCATTCAGCTCAACAAACTTCTAGTTTTCTTGCCTTCTATGAATGTGATTTTACTTTTATTTCTATTGGAGCACTCCCTGGCTGTGCCATCAATTCTGTTGGGCGAGAAGGTCATAGCTTATTATGTCATGTACAAGAGCTCAAAAAGAGGCAGTTGAGTAAATTGAACATAGATTCTATTCTGGAGATAATCCAAAACAGTTGCAAGAAAGTTGTTGCCGTGAAATGTCAAGAAATGCTAATAGATCTCAACATTATAAGCTCTTTAAGCATTTGGATCACCATTACTAATTTTACTCTTGGCTTTTCTTAAATGATATTTATTAATATGCACTTTCAATTTTCCTGTTATGTCACTATCAAAAAAATCTCACTTCAAACTTAAAAGATTGGGACCCTTAAAAATAGATACACTGCTCATTTCAGCATGCAGTTAATTCATAGTCCTTGCAATTTCAACATTTCTTTGCTGTAGATCTGAATTAATGCTCACACTCTTTCA